AAAGGTGTTTTACAAGTGAAGGAACTTCAACAATTGCTAATTATTTGAAAGCTAATTTTTTAAAAATGACACTTGTTTGCAATCACTAGCAGGTCACAGGTTAGGTTGCATGTAAATTTGGGAAATCAGAGTAGAACAGCCATTCTGCTCAAAGCTGCCCAATTTCCCATTGGGATCTTATCTGACAACTGCACAACTAAGAGACTCTAGTACTGTCAAAGGTGCTGTCTTTGGACGAGACATTGAACCACGGCCCTCAAAATCATGCAACAGATCCTATGCTATTATTTTAAAAACCGCATTGGAGTGATCCGCGATGTACTAACTAGGAGTTACCCTTCAAATAATACTAAAACAGAACATCTCATATACAAGCAATAGGAGCAGTAGGTCACTCAGCCTGCTCTGCTATTCAATAAGATCATAGCTGATTTGATTGCGGCCTCAACACTACTTTCCTATAACTGTTTACATAGTTATCAATCAAAAAATCTTACTTATCCTTGAATAAGTTCAATGATTCAGCCTCCACTGCTTTCTGGGAAGAGAACATGACAAACTAACAATCCTCCCTCATTCTTCTAAACTTCAATGGATATAAACTCAATCTGTTCAGTTTGTCCTCAAAAGATAATCCCTTCATTCCAGGAATCAGTCAAGTGAACCTTGTGTGGATTGCATCTAATGCTTTTATAATCTTGGTTAAGTAAAAAGACCAAAACTATATATAATATGACTGATGCAGTTTAAAGTCCTGTAGTTGCAACATCTCCCTCCCTTTATGCTCAATCCCCCTGGGGGTGGGTGTTGAACCCAGACCTTCTGGCACAGAGGTAGGGATGCTACATTGTGCAACAAGCCCCTCTTTCCTTGCAACAAATGCTGATGTTTCATTGGTCTTCTTGATAGCAAGCTGTATCTGCACATCAATTTTGTGCCATCACACACAGATCCTTCTGTAGAGTTCTGCTTGCTACATCCAAAAATAAAAAGCTTTTATATTTTTCTTTTCAGAATGGACAAGTTCACATTTTCCCATGTTAGTCCGCATCTCTCTTTCACAAATCATATTCTAAACCATTATATACTCTTTAGAAAACCAAGCTCAAACTGATACCTCTCAAAGGGTCTGCACTGTCTTATTCAGCTGAGTGGGCATTCTTCATGAAAGGACAGGATAGAGGGAAAGGGTACAGAATTATACCAGAAGTAGAGTAAGTTGACTTCAGCTATTGTGAGGTTCGAGTGGAAAGAAACACAGATTAGTTATTTGCTCAATTTGACAGCCCAACAACATAGACCTGATTCTGAACTTTACTGTTAGTGTAATTAACAAACATCTGGAAAATGACCTCATGCCTGTGTCCCTGAAAGGCTGTATGCAAGAAAAGTTAAACGAAATGAAAAGTGAGTGAAGTTAAATGAAATCTTGAAAACATGTTTTCTTTTCTGAATTTATACCTTTTTCCTATTTAAAAAGATAGATTCAATTATCCATTGTTTCTTCCATTGCAGATGTCAAAGTTTTGAGAAAATGTTAAACAGTCATTTTTAAAGCACATCATATTCAAATATGTTGGCATTTTAATACAGTTTGACAAAATAGAATTCAGTTACACTGTGTGAATGATATCATCCCATGCTGCAATTCTCTGGGCTAATCATCCCAATAAAAAAAAGAGTTCTATTTTAATTCTGCCATTAGCAACATTCTGGCTTTCCCACCTTGGAAGGACCATTCTGGCAAAGACCACGTTGTTCCACATAAAGTCCGGTCATAACTTCTCAGTTCAATTACAGTATCACCCATGTTCCAAACACAAATTTAACAAACCCAGGAAAGACAAGGGGTGAGTAATTTAACCAACGACAATCTTCAATGTACAGTATTACAAAAAGTTTCATTCCACATTTGAGTTTTGGAATTCCAAGTACTCTCTAATAGTTACTTAATGTCATGCACATGTTTGGATTGATTGAAAAGACTTCAGGTAATGAACACTCATAACTCTAATCTTTCATCTTACAGTGGATCACATAGTGCTTGGATATTTCATTTTGGACGCACTGCTTACTGCAATTTAAATGGCATTCATTTAAATCTTATATTACTCATGACCACATAAGTGCATGTGCATAAAAATACTGGGAATGAAGTTGGCGACTACATGAGAAACAACTTACGGCAACAAAAATCAAGATTTCTGAAACAGTTCAGACTTAGGAACCACGTGTAGTGTGTCAAAGCTTACGGATGACACTAAGATGAGTGGTAGGGCAAAGCATGCAGAGGACTGTCAAAGTTTGCAGAGGGTTTATAGATAAAGTGAGTGGGCAAAGGTCTGATAGATGGAGTACAATGTTAATAAATGTGAAGTAATCCAGTTTGGTAGGAATAACAGTAAAAAGGATTATTATTTGAATGGTAAAAAATTGCAGCATGCTGCTGTGCAGAGGAACCTGGGTGTTCTCGTGCATGGATCACACAAGGTTGGTTTGCAGGTACAACAGGTAATTAAGGCGGCAAATGGAATTTTGTCCTTCATTGCTGGAGGGATTGAGTTCAAAAGCAAGGAGATTACGTTGCAGCTGTATAGGGTGCTGGTGAGGCCACACCTGGAGTACTGCGTACAGTTTTGGTCTCCTTACTTGAGAAAGAATGTACTGGCACTGGAGGGGGTGCAGAGGAGGTTCACTAGGTTGATTCCAGAGTTGAGAGTGTTGGCTTATGAGGAGAGACTGCGTGGACGGGGATTATATTCATTAGAATTTAGAAGAATGAGGGGGGATCTTATAGAAACATATAGAACATAGAAACATATAAAATCATGAAGGGAATAGATAAGATGGAAGCCGGGAGGATATTTCCACTGGCAGGTGAAACTAGAACTAGCCTCAAAATTAGGGGGAGCAGATTTAGGACTGATTTGAGGAGGAACTTCTTCAACCAAAGGGTTGTGAATCTGTGGGATTCCCTGCCCAGTGAAGTAGTTGAGGAACTTCCTCATTGAATGTTTTTAAAGCTAAGATAAATAATTCTTTTAACTGTTCAAAAAGTTAAGGGTTATGGTGAGAGGGTGGGTAAGTGGAACGGAGGCCATGAAAAAAATATCAGCCATGATCTTATGGAATGGCAGAGCAGGCTCAAAGGGCCAGATGGTCTACTCCTGCTCCTGGTTCTTATGTTCTTGTCACAGTTGGAATACTATTCAAAGGCTTCAAACGTGGTGTTTTACTCAAACTACCTGCATTTCTGGGGCAAAGTCAACAATGAGAAACAATTTTGCCTGTTCAGTGGAAGCTTGATCCACAGCATTATATTTGTCTGTGCTGTTTTACAAGACCACAGAGATATATTCCATAATAATTAAACTAATTGTTGTTACTGTATTTGCAATGTTGTCAGGTGTCAGTGCCAATAATTACAGCATGCTTTGGTGGGTTATGTTAGGTGGCAGAAATCTCTTTCTGTAAGACAGCTATGTACTAGTAGTGAATCTGTTTCTGCCATAATTCTCCAGAATACTTTAAAGCAGTTGATAAGAGCAATTGCTGTTATTGCAGCTTCTGCATCTCAAAGTTGAGTACAGAAAATAACTGTGGGGCAGTGGGAATTTATGGCCTGCTTAGAAGCTCAGGATGGGCAGAAGTGTGTCAGTGGCAAAGGAAGCATTGAGAGTTAAGTCAGAAAATAAGGCACTTAAAAGGATGTGGTCAATAATAGCCATGCATGGCTCCATGTCAGGAAGTTGGCTGAAAGATTTCCGGCAGGACCTTGGGTTCACCTGCAACATTTCAATTCTTCCCACTGCGAGTGATCTTGGACAATATCTTTTTATAAAGCATAGTTGGGAGAGTGAGCTGAGATCACAAGTTCAGATTTATTTCAGAGTATCAAGTATCACACTGGACTCTTTAAAAAAAAAACAATAAAGAATAAACAAGAAAATACAACATTGTTTTCTGCACAATAAAAGAAATACCCCAACTCTATAATAACCATCAATGTTTACTAACCACACAGAATGTCAGTACATCATCTCTCTGAGAAAACTAGTTTCACACGGGTACTGTGAAACCAATGTAATGAAATATTTACAAGTGTAATGTAAATCTGAAAACCACCCATGTTATCTTTGTGCTCTTCATATGCTTTATGTTAATGGCAGGAAAATTATGGCTGTGAAGAGTGCCATGCTACTTCCTCTGCAGGCTTTATTATAGCCTCTCTGTACCTGCTGCATTGTCAATGGATGGTAGGTTTCACCACTAAAAAGCTTCCCTCATTACACGATCACATGCTGTCCATACCACTGGCACTTTAATCATATGGGAAGCAGTAAAAAGTGGCACCCATTTCCTGTCCTGCCATTAGGAACAAATTACCACTGTTAAACTTCGACACAATTTTTCAAAAAGATGATACAAGAAATTGTGTCCGAGTAGATTGTCCTCTTGATTCATACAATTATTTGAATATACACGATACCTCAATAGTGCATCACGTTCAATTCTGGGTGACCATTTACATAAAATGGAACACAATACAATTCAAGAGCTATATGATGGACACAAGTATGTTACAATCCAATGTTTTGCTATTTATTGTAAAATTGTTGTAATTAATTATAGTTTAATTGTTATAAGAACTAAATTAATAAATTGAAGTTACTTCAATTACATGGATCAACTGACATCCATGCAATGTTCAGCATTTGTGAATTTCCCAAGCAATCCAACCTGCTACTGTCAAGCTCAACATCATCCAAGATAAAGTAATCCATTTTTGATTGGCACCCCAATCCACACTTTCCAATATCAGTGCACAGTGGCAATAGTGTGTACCATCCAAACTCAGCACCACTACCATCTAGAAGTCAAAAGCAGCAAATGCATGGGAACACTGCCACCTATAAGATGGGCAGCACAGTGGCTAGCACTGCTGCCTCACAGCGCCAGGGACCTGGGTTCGATTCCACCCTCAGGCAGCTGTCTGTGTGAAGTTTGCACATTCTCCCTGTGTCTGTGGATTTTCTCCGGTTTCCTCCCACAGTCCAAAGATGTGCAGGTTAGGTGGATTGGCCATACTAAATTGCCCTTAGCGTCCAGGAGTGTGTAAGCTTGATGGATTAGACAGGGTTGCGGGGAAAAGGTAGGGGGATGGGTCTGGGCGAGATGCTCTTTGAAGGGGTGGTGTGGACTTGTTTGGCTGAATGGCCTGTTTCCACACTGTATGGATTCTATGATTCTATCCCTTTGGAGTTACACACTCAAGCCAGCGAGGCCCACATCCATGAAAGGAGTATAAAAAAACTCCAAAAATACAAATTTAACTAGTAACAACAAAAATCTCAAACAGATTACAAACTGATCATAAGTCTTTTCAAGATATTTTTCAACCATATCCTTATATAAAACTTGTCTTTAAAATCCTGAATGATACAGGGACCATGTTTATACACCACATCATGGCGATTAACCAAACGGACAAAGGCTACATTTTGTTTAACTGCTTATTTTAAAGAGGTTAGAGCTACAGGAAAATGATTTTCTGCAGTTTCTGCAACTCTATATTAATTAGATTTAGATTATTCATTAAGAACAATCACAGTTTAAAGATGAATTCAAGAATTCTGCTCATCCACAACTCAGGAAATTTAGCGACTTGTTCAGAAGACAAATGCTTACATTGAGTGCAGGTGAAGTGGTAGCAAAATTAGTAAAATGTGAAAGTTACAGACATTTTTCTTTGTTCAATAAAATTACAAAACAGCTGCAGTGTTATTCCATAATGTTGCTTCATGCAAATATTTGCACTTAACATGGTTTGCAGGCAAAAATAACATTTTACAATTAATTCCTGTGTGTCAACTTAGATGAAAAATTCTTCCTCCACACCACTTGCATAAGATTGTTGGGAGGCTTTGAATGTTTGTTGATGAAAAGGCGTACTTTTCTCAGAGTTGGAAGTTTGCCATTTTTTGCTCAAAAAACTGATATTCTCAGAAGACATTTCATTTTTTAGTCCAGCACTTATTGTTGATTTTAATGCAAAGCTTTTTGAACTTAAATTAGGAAGACTGTTCTTTAAACCTGTTGAAAATGTGTCTAAAGAACAGAGGCTGTCATCAGAAGACAAGCTGGTCTTTGAAATTATGAATCCAGTGTCAACATCAGTTTCTGCATTTTGTGGTCCAGTGGTGGTTTCATGTTCAAAGCTTTGGAACTTTGTAGACATGTTGTAACAATACGCTGGATCACAGCGAGACAACGTTGCTGGACTGCTGCGCTGTGATGAGTAACAGGAACTACTTTTGGGTGTGCTGCACAAACTCTCTGAGGCGCTTTCAATTCTGTCCAGCATTCCATGTAAACTGTTTCTTTGTTTTCCTTTCACACATCTCCTCTCCTGTTCATCTTCAGTCAAAGCGGAGACCATTTTGCTCTTGTCCTGAGGCATTTGGTTGTCCAGCCACCTTTCTGAAAGTGAAGTTTGATTGCATGGCACTGAACTGCATGAATAATTGTTCAAACCACCGCCAGCAGAGCAACTTCTATCCAAGTACTGCATTCTCCCTTTGATCTGTTACAAGGTTCAAAGTCAGTACATTAGTGTAAAGATATTTAAAGGTCACAACGACATTAGTTAGCAACAAGCACTCCAAACAAAACAAGCTTATTTCATTTTCAATGAACCTTGATTTAACACAAGATGTAATTACATAATAAAAGCAGTTGTTTCAAATAAACCTTAAATACCAACTTTTAGTATGGTTGAATTATGGCAAGTTATTTGAGTAGGTACAAAACTTCAAAAGCATAGGGTATTAAAATCAATTCTTATTCTGCAAAGGACAAGAATCAAACTATCTTGACTTGTGTTTAAAAAATTTTCAGTAGGGCGAGAGAACAGCCCGAGCTGGGCAGCTCGTTCAGGAGCTGGTACAGACACGATTGTTCAAATGGCCTCCTTCTGTACTGTAAAATTCTATGATTCTATCTATTGAAAGGAATTTGCTTTGTAAATGCTTTGTGAATGTTCCATTGCATTTTCCATCAGTAATTCTAAAGGGATTCGATGAAGAGTTTCAGATTTAATTATTTTGAAAATATTCAATAATCATTTCAAAAATACTTTCAGAAACCTGCATTATATGGAATACATTTTGCATGATACATGCTAGTACTCAAGCTAAGAAATGTTTTGGCAACCGACTCACATTATACTTACATTGTAAGGAGTATAACATTAATATTCCCCTGTTACAGTTTACTTTAGGCATTGAGAGCCCATTGACCTGTGCCAAACTATTAAATGCATCTTTAAATTAACATCCCAGATTAATAAACAAGTATTGTCAGGGTAATGTCAGGGTGTCACTGAAACAACTGTAGCAGGGAGAGAGACAACAAGGAAGTCAATTTCAGAGTGCTGATATTGAAAACACTGATGGACAGAAGCTACATGAAACTTAAAGGCAAAATATTACAACAAATCTCAGTTAGACCACACTTGAGTACTGTGTACTGTTCTGGTTTCCAAATTTAAAAAAAAAGGCCTTGACGAAAGAAAAAGACATTTACAAAGGTCATACCAGAATTAGCTCTGGATGGCTATCAAGGGGATCAAGGGCTATGGAGAGAAAGCGGGAGAATGCAGTTGAGGAACTTATCCGCCATGATTCAGCGGTGGAGCAGAGCCGATGGGCTGAATGGCCTAATTTCTGCTCCTATGTCTTATGGCTTGTCAGAGGTCTTTAAGATAATGAAAGGGACTCATAGGTTAAAAATTGAGAAAATTTTTCTATTTGGTAAGGGAATCGAACATAAAAGGATTTATGTGAGTGTCATGAATCAATCCAGTAAGGAATTCAGGGGCTTTCTTTACCCAAAATAGGAGCGTGAAATGCATGACCATAATAATTAATTAAGGCAAACAGCATTAGTAATATTGGTGATACGTAAACACATGAAAGGGAAAGCAATTTAAGATTATGCTTCTAAGACTGAATGAAGTAAGGTGAGGGGAAAAGAGTGGTAAGGGTCTGAAGAGCAGGGATGTGAGCATGAGCACGGAGACAGCGGCAAGAGTTTAATCAGCTACAATGTAAGCAGCAGTGAGATTGCAGCAAACAGCTGGATGTGAGTCTGTGGGTTCAGATTCATGCATTACAAAGAAAATGTAAGTGTGATATAATGGGAAAGAATCTAAAATGTTTTTCCTCATTTATTTCTCTAAACTAACTATTCATTCAAATTAGAAGCTGGGACATTTTAAAGATGTGTAACCTAATTAGTTAGATAAAAGATGGTGAGAATGGCAGGTAAAGGTGATGTGTTGCAGCTGTAGCATGTGGGAGGTAGTGCACATCAGTGTGCCATATTGTTATTGCAGATGTGGTTACTATGTGCTGCTCATGGATCTGCTTCTTAGCTAATGAGCTGGAGTTTGCACTTCAGGCACTGTAATGCATTGGGGAGGGGGAAAAATGTCACCAGGCCACTTTGTTTCAAGAGGTAGTACTGAGCCTAAAGGGTGAGACTATGAGGAAAAACATTTTAGATTCTTTCCCGTTATATCACACTTACATTTCCTTTGTAATGCAAATGTTTGAATCTGAACCCACAGACTCACATCCAGCTGTTTGAACTCTTGCTGCAATGGTCAACGACAGCTTGGTGTGACTGAGAGTGAAGCAGACATGGGGATTGAAAAGGTAGAAGTGAAAAAGTCTCAACTACTGCAATTGTCCAACAGGTTCAAGGCTCTTGAACAAGAGCAAGAGCTGCAGAGTAGATAAGTGAAATGATCATGACTCCATGTTCCAAGGAGCCACTTAAATGAAGACAGTGAGAAAGATCATTAATCTTATAGGGCACAGTATAGTTAGGAGAGAGATACACTTCCCTGCATCTGAGAGCAGGAGTCTTGAAGGCTTGAACAGTTCATCAACTTTACTAACACCTTCCACTCCAACCTCAAGTTCACCTGGACCATCTTTGATACCTCTCTCTCCTTCCTGGACCTCTGTCTCCATTCTGGTGACCACCTCGAAACTGATATCTATTTCAAGCCCACCGACTCCCACAGCTACCTAGACTACACCTCCTCTCACCCACCTTCCTGCAAGAATGCGATCTCCTACTCCCAATTCCTCTGCCTCCGCCCCCAAGATGAGGCGTTCCACTCCCACACATCCCAGATGTCCTCGTATTTCAAGGACCGCAACTTCTCCCCACTCAGTGGTTGAAAACACCCTTGACTGCATCTCGTGTTTCCCACACCTCAGCCCTCACAGCCCCCTCCCCACAATAAAAACAAAGACAGAATCCCCCTTGTCCTCGCGTATCACCCCATCAACCTCCAGATTCAAAGCATCATTCTCTGCCACTTCTGCCACCTCCAATCTGACCCCACTATGAAGGATATATTTCGCTCCCCAACCTTATCTGCCATCCGGAGGGACCGCTCTCTCCACGACTCCCTCATCTGCTCCACACACCGCACTAGCCCCACGACCCCTGGCACCTTTCCCTGCAACTGCAGGAGGTGCTACACCTGCCCCTACACCTCCCCCCTCACCTCCATCCCAGGCCCCAAAAAAACCTTTCACATCAGACAGATGTTCACTTGCACATCTGCTAATGTGGTTTATTTTATCCGCTGTTCCCGATATGGCCCCCTCTACATCAGTGAGACCAAATGGAGACTCGGACACTGCTTTGTAGAGCACCTACGCTCAGTTCGCAACAAACAACAACACCTCCCAGTCGTGAACCACTTCAATTCCTGCTCCCACTCTCTGGATGACATGTCCATCCTGGGCCTCCCTCCAGTGTCACAACGACACCACCCGAAAACTGGAGGAGCAGCACCTCATATTCCACCTTGGAAGCCTACAACCCAATGGTCTCAATGTGGACTTTACTAGCTTCAAAATCTCCCCACCCACGGCCTCATCCCATGACCAACCCTCCCTCTCATCCCCACCTCCTTGACCTGTCCGTCTTCTCTCCCACCTATCCGCTCCTCCCACCTCACTGACCAATCCTTACCACTACGTACCTGCTATCAACATCCCACCTACCTTCCCCAGCCTGACCCCACCTCTCTATTTATTTCAGAGCCCCCTTCCCCTCTCCATTTCTGAAGAAGGGTCCTGACCTGAAACGTCAGCTTTCCTGCTCCTCTGATGCTGCCTGGCCTGCTGTGTTCATCCAGCTCCACACTGTGTTGTCTTGAAGGCCATGTTGATTGCCTGGTGCCAGCTTTCACGACATGTGCTCAGGACTACAAAGCACTTTGCACAAGAGGGGAAAGATTGTTGTGGTCCACAGGGGTGCCAACAACATAGCTAGGACTAATAACAAAAATTTTGCTTTGGAATTATAAGCAGCTAGAAGCCAAATTTAAAATGCACAAATGCAAAGACTATTACCTATAAGCACATCGACAAATGATAAATTAGAGTGTTGAATGAGTCAAAGATTGCTTCAGAAGGAATGGGTTACACTTCATGGGGCACCGGTACCAGTGCTGGAGAAACAGGAAGCTGTACCACTAAGGCTATTTTCACCCAAACTATTCATCACTGGTTTCTACTTACCACTAATCTCAGTGTATTACACATTTTCTTTCAATTTAATCATATTGTTAAATTTCTTAGCTAGTCACAGATGGTACATCCATCTCAGAGTCTCTCAGCAGTATTACTGAATGGCGTTAGAGTGATCATAAATTAAATTTCATGTGTAATACACATTTTTTTTCAGCTGTAGCATAAAATGGAAACAAACACTGGTTCACATAATGATGAACAACTGTAAACCAAAGCAGTAATAAGATGATAATGGAAAATGTTATGGTTTGAAGATATTTATTATATGAACCACTTTGTTACAGTAATCATTTATAGAAAATCTGAGTAAGTGCCAAGAGTTTCTTAGAGTCCATGTGCAATATTTACTTGGAAAAGGATCTTGTTTCAATCATAGTACAATAATAGCAAGCATTCCTTACATTTATACTCTCTTCTCCTTACAATAAAGGCCAAACCTTCCATTTGCTTTCTTAATCATTTTCCATATCTGTATGGCTGCTTTTATTTTGCATTCAGTATTCCTCTGCGCCACAGATTTGGGTTATCTCTATTTAAATATTCTGCTTTTCTATTCTTCCTGCCATTGCTGATTTGATTATGACCTTCATTTCCCTATCTGCCCTGCAAAAAACCTCAAAGTTCCATTGTTTATTGAAAATCAGTCTCCATTGGTCCCTGGGCAAGGCAATTTTAAAGGCTTATGACCCTCAAATTTCCTCCTCATCCGTCTTAATTGGGAGATCATTTAGTTTTAAACTATGGCCTCTAGTTATAGCTTATCCAACAAGGGAAATATCTTCCCAGCACTTGCTCTGTCAAGTACCCTAAAAACCTTGTAGGTTTCAAAAAGATTGTATCCTATTCTTCTAAATGTCAGTAAGTGAAGGTCAGACCTTCTCAATGTATCCTCATATTACAACACCTTTATTCCAAGAGCAAGGCAAGTGAAACTTCTCTAAACTGCTTCTAGTGGAATTGTTTTCTTCCTTAATTAACAAGACTAAAATTGTATACAATACTCCAGATGTAGTCTCACTAAGGTTCGTTTTACTTTTCAACAGAAAACAAGTAGTAGATATAATTTACGGAAGCTAAAGCAATTCTAAATTAAAACTTTCAGTAATACTATTGTATTGCAAGCAGTTTTCCTCGCTCATTTGATGAATTATGCAATTAGAGTAATCACTTATAATAAATCTGAGTAAGTGCTAAAAGTTTCTCAGAGTCCAAGAGCAATACCTACTTGGAAAAGGATCTTGTTTCCATCATAGTCTTCAGTTTGCCATCTTGCGTTGCTGATGGGAATGCACGGGTTTGGAAGAAGTGGCACCAGCTCTCCAATTGCATGCACTCTGAACTGAAGAACAGCCGATACTTTGAGATCTACAGGAACTCCAAGCGGCAACTGTTTTAAGGACAGCTGGATACTGAAACTCTGGCTTGAGAACACTGTGAAACAGCAGAAGTCAGTTTTCTGCACAGCAGCTTTCTTTTGCAAAATTAACTCATAGAGCTTGACAGCATCTTCAAAGTTTTCATTGCTGCAGCATACAGTAACTCGCAAGATCTCATTCCCATAGTGCACTTGTCTTACAGCCCAGATCGGCATGCTAGCATCCAAAGAATAGAAGTCCTGACAACAAATCATATAAGGAAGGATTTTCCCACCCACACTTTCACTGTGATGATAATGCCATGGTGGCCCCTGAAAAAAGTCATGAACTTGTAAGATTCGTTCTTCACCAAAGTCTTCATGTAGGAATAGAATAACAGAGTGTGATGGGTATCCAGACTTTTTTCTGCGCTGTGTTTCGCAGCATTTTACTGGCGTTGCTCGCTCAGAAACGTGGAACAACTGGATATCTGGGCTTAACCAATGTAATAAGCAGTCTAGTGTTTTCTGTAATCCTTGAGATTCACCAGGGTTTGCGAGCAGATGCACAGTCATTTGGAAGGGATCTTGACCCTCTTCCAGCACAAATTCACCTTAAAAATGGAGCAAACAATATTATCGCTGAAATAAAACAAATAAAACAAATGATTTTTGCATGCATTTGATAATTTTAAAGACATGAAAGATATCTAATATTTTGTTAACTTTTTATTAACTGGCACCAATGGGACTAGGAGTGTGCCAGTTCAACAAATATTCTGGTTTATCAAGAAGTCCATATGATCAACGTAAAAACACACACCAAGTAAAAGAAACCTAATCAGGATATACACATCACTGTTTTATTTTATGCACAGCATAAATCACTTAAATAATTAGGCAACTTTGCCTTAAATGAAACTTAGCTGCAGTCAGCCTTCTCACTTGCACCCTCAACTGACTTCCTCAGACATTGCAGAGATCACAATAACAGAGTAAACTTCCAGTATTTCAGGAATATAATTTTTGTGGTTTATAAAGTGCTGGTTAAAACAGTTAGCTGATTGAAGATACAATACCCTCTAAGCTGGCAAAAGCTCCTTACAGATAATCATCCACAGGTATCAGTACTTCAATATAAAAAGTATTAATTAATTAATCTGTTGGGACAGGTTATAACACACTTCTGTAGCAGGAGGCACATGAGATTTCTGCTTCAGAGATAGGGACATCACCTCTGGGCCCCACGGCCTCCTTCAATATACACTCGTACTCATTCGAGTTAATAAGAATGTCTACACAGGTTTCTAAAAAGCAAATTATGTTTGACTAATACAATTGAGATTTTTATGAAGTAATGAAGAAGATTGATAAAGGGAGATGGATGTTGACTGTATGGGTTGTATTTTAAAGAAAACCTTCGACAAAGTACTTAAAGACTGCTTAATAAAATTGAAACTCATGGAATAGGAGGGTCAGTGTAAGCTCGGATTAAAAAAAGTTAAAAAGTTAGAAAACAGTGAGCTATGATAAATATGAATCAGAGATAGTAGGAACTGCAGATGCTGGAGAATCCGAGACAACAAGGTGCAGGGCTGGATGAACACAGCAGGCCAAGCAGCATCATAGGAGCAGAAAGGCTGACGTTTCGGGCCTAGACTCTTCATCAGACAAGGGGGAGGGGAAGGGGGTTTTGAAATAAATAGGGAGAGAGTGGGAGGCGGATAGAAGAGGGATAGAGGAGAGGATAGGTGGAGAGGAAACAAACAGGTCGAAGAGGCGGGGATGGAGCCAGTAAAGGTAAAGTTTCAAAATCTCCCCTCCCCCTACCGCATCCCAAAACCAGTCCAGCTCGTCCCTGCCTCCCTAACCTGTTCTTCCTCCCACCTATCCCCTCCTTCCACCTCAAGCCGCACCTCCATCTCCTACCGACCAACCTCATCCTGCCCCCTTGACCTGTCCGTCCTCCCTGGACTGACCTATCCCCTTCCTAACTCCCTACCTACACTCACCTTTACTGGCTCCATCCCCGCCTCTTCGACCTGTTTGTTTCCTCTCCACCTATTCTCTCCTCTATCCATCTTCTATCCGCCTCCCACTCTCTCCCTATTTATTTCAAAACCCCCTTCCCCTCCCCCTTTTCTGATGAAGGGTCTAGGCCCGAAACGTCAGCCTCTCTGCTCCTATGATGCTGCTTGGCCTGCTGTGTTCATCCAGCCCTGCACCTTGTTGTCTTAGCTATGATAAATAGTTGTTTTACAAAATTAAAAAATAGTAGACAGTGCAGTTCTCAAGGATCAGCGCTGGGAGGACTGCATTTGTATATATACACAAAGTAACAGAATGTATTGGCATTAACTGGCACCTCATAATCCAGGATGCTTTGACTTACAGCTCAGGGGCAGCTCTTCCCTAACCACTTCCACCACCAGCCCTCTTTAGCCCTACCTCGCGCCACTCCCTCACCCTCCACACCACACCACACCCCACCCCCACAATCCCCAGACCCAGCCCACCCCACACCCCACCCCACCGTACCACCACTGCATTTAGTGAACTGAAAACTTTCTAATGCTAACTGGTATCTGTCAGATAACATCACAAAGATGTTTTGATGCTAGGCATGGACGTTTATTTAGGCGAGTGCATTCATAACCCTTCACAGCGAGATATTTTGATCACTTATGGTGAGTAATAGTTATTACTGTATGTGAGAAGGCACCATATATTGTGTGTTTTTGATCCTGTTTATTCACCAGCAGATTCAATTTACTGGCACAATCCAGTCCTGATACATTCTGGCTAACGTGAATCTGACTGAGCTGGTAAGTGTTTTGGATGCATGTCTTTAAATTTAGGGTAAAATTCAGGTGACCTGGTGTTGATATCTGCCAGGGACCAGGAGGGGAGGGAGAGCAGCTAGAGACCAAAAGTCTTATGTACAGTGTGCCTGAATGAGGATGAAACCAATTCTTAAAGCGAAAAGATCACTTTTGTGAGGAGTTAAAATGAGGCAGATGATTTATCTAGCATTCACTAGAATGAAGGTCTCCAGTAATACTTGCACTGTGAAAGACAGTTCTGGAGTTTGAAGGTACCAGGTTGAGAAAGGAAAAGAACAGAAGTAAACAGAAGGGAGCTAAGAATCATTCTGGTGTGATTCTGGAAGATTGAATATATACTGAAATGATAAAGTGTAACATAAATCGGTGGAACGTGTTTTTACAGTGGTGCCATTTAGCTCAGAATGACAATTCATGGAGTTGAATTAAAGTTTAACTGAAGGATTTTGAAGTCTAATGAACCATAAAGATGGTTCATTAAAAGTAGACTGCTACCTTGTCCAATACTTCCAATATATTCGTAGTTACTCACACAAGTTATTTCAAACAAAACCTCTGTAATGCTTTTAAAATAGCAAGTACAGTGAAAACATGACATGGACCACCCATTCGGGGGAAGAGGGAGAATAGTTATTGGATTTCACTGACTTTCAGCAAGAAGTCATTGTTTGACTGCCCAGCAGGATATTGTCCTCATTTCAACCATATCTACCTTATGAATAGGAATGGATAAATCATTTGCTGCAAAGCTAATCTGGAGGCAATTACACTTCAGAGCTAAATTTGTTTATGTAGTAGGTCAGCTTTAAATTTAGACTGCCAAAATTAATTAAATATTTGAATCAATCTTTTGGACAGATCACTGTTGTGTACTCACAATAGATTCCAGGAGATCAGCTTTCCTACAGCATAAAACAGTTCAACAAATAAGCAAGAAAAATCTGCCTAAAAAATAATCAGATTTAAAATAACATATTTGCACACAGCTGTGCCCGCAAGTGAGCTGGAAAAGGTTGCAGGGGTGATGCGGGAAGCAAGAAAGGGCTTCTGTCCAAAAGAAGAATATAATAACTTTTACAGATCATTGCAAAAACAAAACATGACTGCTTCATTTCATAAAGAAAATTCTAGAAACTGAAGTTTGAAAATTAACACAAACCAGAGATCTATATTGATAAGGGTTGCTGATAAAATGATTTATTTAAACAGCATTAAACCTAAGTCAATATCTGAAGTCTTAAACAATTTTCATGATTTTCCCATGTTTAATGAAAATGCCAAAATTCTTGCTAGTTGATGGTTTCTAAGGGCTGAATACTTGCAGCTCCAGAATGATGTGGGCACTGGTGTGTCAGTTGAGGAAATATGGCAAGCTTAGAAAAATGAGCTTGCAACTTTGAGGGGGAAAATAAAAGTCTGATCTTATAACCAGATTTTGAACGCCAAGATGAGCATTTAAAAAAAATATTGATGAGATGAGGGAGTTGCTGGCCAGACCAGCATTTATTGCCCATCCCTAATTGCCCAGAGGGCAGTTAAGATTCAACCATATTGCTGCAGGTCTGGAGTCACATGTAGGCAAGACCAGGTAAAGATGGCAGTTTCCTCCCCTAAAGGACACTAGGGAACAAGTTGGGTTTTGCCAACAATTGACAATGGATTCACGGTCATCATTAGACTCCTAATTTCAGATTTCTTTAATTGAATTCAAATTCCACGATTTGCCATGGTGGGATTCACCAGTGATTGGCAAAAAGTCTATTTACTTTTTGTCATTAGTACCTAATCACTCTCCTATCAGCAATTTTGTCTTCTCCCATGCACTGGAGAGGAACGAGATGGCGATTTTGCCAACATGAAGATGATCAGAATGGGCCCCTGGTAGCTCCAGCTTGCTACTTGCTTCACTGGGCCTCCATCTTGGACAGCCGTCCCCAGCATCACAGGGTACACTTGCAATCCCCATCCATGGAGATTGGCATTGGACACATGCCAGCCTCACTGCATTTTTCCAACTCACTTCTCCATTTCAATACCGCACTTTGAAATGGACCGACACTTTCCCATTACAATGTTGCTGCCAGAACACTTTGCTTGCTGGGACAAGCACCCAAATTATGGATTAGATGAGAGCAGATCTCAGAGCTCCTCATTTGCTCTCTTAGTCCTCACTTACTTTGCGCCCACTTTGGTAATCTCAGAATCTCTACCATGTCTTGCCTTTTTTTTTCAGTTTTCCACCTCATTCAGAAGTTAAAGGCTCACAGTACATCTGTGTCACCTTGTTGCTTAGCATAGATAGTCTAACATAGTGGTCAACAACGATCAGTCAATATCACATCTCCATGTGCCAGCAGCTTACACAGCCCACACACTGCACATGCTTCATCCAAATGGCCACGTCTCAAACTCTAATAGCTTGGACATGATCAGCTGGTAGCGCAAGTCTGGGGAGAAGGCCATAGTCAGTAATACAGGTCCAGTTCAACCAGTTTAGGGATTCATGATAGATCAGCTGAGGAACTGCACAGTGATCAATGACCCACTCACTAATCAGTCTGTCCATTGTAACTGTGGGAGTCAACACAAAGATGGGGTGGGGGTGGACGAGATCAGTGCAGCATGATGGTTTACATGGCTAAGCTGTAGGGCTCATAGCCAATGTTAGGAGATGACAATCAAGAGGATCAGCACTGGGTACAACAAGCCAGATAGAACTTAAAGAACACCCAGTTCTAATTGATGTGATCTGGGTGCAGTGATTGGAGATT